TTCTAGTGACTGCATCAGGTTTTTGTAGTGTCTTGCAGCTAACTTATGTCAAATACTGGTTTTGAAGGTGTTGGTTTTTATTGACTGTTTTGATTGCAGGGTGTCTTTAGTTCTCGGGGGAGAAAAATTCTTATGGCTGATGCAGATGGAGCTACAAAATTTCCAGATATTGAAAAAGTAGAAGAAGGTCTAAAAAATCTTCAGCCATGGCCTGTGAGTATAGATTATCAGGAATTTAGTTTAATATGCATGTATACTCCATGCCACTGTCCACGTCACCGACAAAAAAAATTTGAGTTCTTTGAAACCCGGTTGAAGATCTAGGTGTGAATCTGAAGACCTAGGTGTAAGCTTAGGAGCTTCAAGAATAGTCTTGTCAGGAGGTAGCTTCCACAGGGTTCTTAGCTGCTTTGCATTCACTGTGCCTATTTCAATACAGTACATAATGTTCTATTTACCATTCTTTGAGGTTGTTCTACTCTGCATAAATACCATGTGTTGCCTACTCAGTTAAAAAACAATTTTTCTTTGTATTTTATTTATACTTGATGTCATCGGTTATACCTTTAAGGATGCATCTTAATTTCACTCTGTTTTTCAGAGGTTCTGTTTTCTCAGAGTTGTTAGTCTAATGACAGTATTTGCGAGAACTTTTGTTGCAAACACAAATTCAAAAACCCGTGGAACAAGACTTACTCCCCGGATAGTCATGCTCTTTTGGGTGCTTGACTTGAAAGAGCTGAGGTTTATTTTCTTCTTAAATGCAGAACGGTGAGGTTCTTGTAGCTTGTTTCCCGAGATGCCAGAAGCCATGCGCAGCCTTCCAGCGGGAGCTGCGAGGGATGCGCCTGTGTCAGGAGTGGCAGTCTGCGAGCGCTGGAGCCATGGGGTGGCGGTGTTTGCCTGACGCTCTCCGCTACTCCTGCTGGTTCTCCAGCAGCTGTTCTGCACTCGTATATAGCAGATCTGAGGGATTTCATGTGAGAAGTAGTAGCATGAGAATAATTTCAAATCTTCTGTTTCGATCACTTCTTTTGATTTAATTCAAAATGATGTTGTTGGCTGGAACCATGGCAGTTTATTTGTTTGAAGGCATGTTAGTGAAACAAGTACTTTATTCTGTTATCCTTTCCACAGCGCAATATTTAGGGTAAACATATGTTATGTCATTAAGTGCCTAGGAACAGACATCTGTGTTCCTGTGCTGTTCAACACGTTTACTGGATGCACACCTCAGAAAAGCAGTGTAAGATAAACCAGACCTGAATAAATTACAGTAATTTGTATGCACCATATGAAAAATGTGATAAACTTTAGCTGATCTGTTAGTCGTAGAAAAGATTTAGTTTTAACCTCAGAATCTATCAGTAGAAAGAGTGCAGCTACAGGAAGCAGAAAAATATACTGCTTTGAAGTTTTTCTTGCACAGTTCTCAACAGAAGATTCCACTGATGCAGAAAATGTTAGTTTAAATAATAACTCTTTAATTTGTATTCCTGTGCAGAACCAGATGGCTATTTCCTGTGGTTCTAGAGCTCATCTGGAGAAGGACTCAATAGCAAAGGTTTGTTTTCCTTTTCTGCTGTGTACTAATACTCAAATACTTCTATTATTTGATTCTGCTCTATAGATTTTACAATTAAATAATCACTATTTGTAAAAGAATGGAAGCTAAAGAATAGGAAAAGCTTGTCATAAGTGTAGCATACGCTCCATCATATGCAAAGGATGCATTCTAGATTTCAAGCACTTGAACTGGTTTCAATTAGTTTTCTAATCTATGGATTTCATTTCCCGAGTTGAAAACATCTTACAAGCAGAGCGTCTGATCCCTGACACAATTGGTAGGTAGTACCCAGTACTGGGGCTGGAGAAGAAGGCAGCTGATGAGTTCATCTTTATTGAGTCTCTTCCAGTGTGAGAGCTTGATCTGCAGATCTTGAGACCTGTTTAAAATGAGTTAGTGATAATTAGTGGCAAACTGTTTGAAGAGTGTCTCAATTCGTGGGAAAGTACTGTAATTTTTCTGCATTACTCATAGTAAAACTTTGGAGTTTTGAACGCGCAGACAGTACTGTTCTGTGTGTGGCTCTTGTGGAATAAACAGTGATGCACAGGCGCACAGTCTTATCTTGCATCTGGTTTTCTGATGTCTTGGCAGACAGTAGTTGACAAAGCACAGGCATGGAACTTGTATTGCAACAGACGCATTGCTGGACTGATTTTTTCAGCATCATTGGGTGTGCTCATCATGCTGAATGTTCTCAAGAGTAAGCTTTGTTTGTGCTGATGTTTAATACTTGAAATGATTCTAAAATACAACTAAAATACGCAACTACTAAAATAGTTACAAAAGTTCAAAAGAAATTACATTGGTAATGTGCAGCCCCTGGTAGATTTTTTTTTTTTTTTTCTGCATTATCAGGTAATATTGGAGTCTTTCACTGGAAAGAGTTCTTGTAAATGCTGCTGCATGTTTGTTTGCATCCTCACAGAAAAGAACAAATCCAAAATCTTCATCATAATCAGAAATTAGGATAAATCTTTGAGATGGTGCTTGCATGCTTGTAGTCTAGAGTGTACCATTTGCGGTATTTGTCAGCTGTGCAGCTAGTGTATCCTGGAAATGTTGCTATTACATGGAGACCATGTAGCTGATAAATTTGAGCTCAGAAAAAATGCTTCATTGTATGATGAGGTACTGAATATAGATAAGCTTCCTTCAGTGCATTCATATTTCATCTTTGAAGGACTTGCTACGTGAAGGAGAGGAATTAGAAAAGGACTGTATTTTTTAATGCAAAGGTACAGCTTTTAGGATGTGTCCATCCTTTGCTTCCTTTGCTTTCCGTTCCCCGTATTGCTGACTTTCTGATAAAGGAATCACCAGCTGGTTAGACAGTACTGCTCTGTTTGAAATGTGTAGCCCATTTTATTACCCAGCTGTTGCTAGATTGGAAAGGAAAGACTGCCTGTACCATACTGGGAAGAGACTGTTGTGTCATGCAATAGATATAAAAAATTGCAGAACAATCTCTGAGATGGGATTTCTCTCTGAGCTTAGTGGCATCTAAAACACTGTGAATGAAGCTGTGATAAGCAACCATATGGGGTTTATTAAGACCAGAATTTCAGCCTTCAGTCCAGTCTCAAGACATCATGGATTCTATTTTGCCTCCAGAATTGTTAACATACTTTAATGAATCCATAGTATGACATACATAAATAGTCTTGGGTGTGATGAACATAACCCAGGAACTCCTCTTTGTGAAATAAGGGTGCAGTTTCACTGGCTGACAGTCATGCAGCCTCTTAGAGCCTCCGTTTTGGGACCACAGCCTTGTGTTCTTGGTCACACAGTGTTTCACCTTCACCAAAAGAACCAAAGAATCCACACCAGATCCACCACTAGCCTAGGGCTAGAGCACTTTTCTGAGAGGCACAAGCTATGAATTTGAATTTCCTTAAGCCAAAGGCCATTACATAATAAACTGAGCATCTTCTCATTTTTCAAGTGAGATTTGAAATTATTAGCTTTAAAGGCATCTCTTATCACCCAGAGCAGAGATGCTTACCAGTTAAATTGTTGGCTCCTAAAGATTTTGCGTAGTATTTGGCTTGCAGTCTTAGATACAATCACCTAAATTGAGCTTAAGACCAGCAGTGAGTTTAGAAGCGGTTTGTGGATCAGGATTCTAGTTGTTTAGGAGCTGCCTCAAACAAAAGACTAGGAGGCACCTCTGCAAACCCGTATTCCAGCCTCTGGGTTCCATGGACAAACTTATCTGTATGATTATTATGTCAAGGACAAAAGTGTAACCAAAGAGTAGGCTGGGAGAACATCTACCAGGAGCATAAAATCTATTGTGAAAGCAAAAGAACAAAAGAGGTGACTGTGTAACATTGCTGGAACTATAAAATGAAGTATTATCTTGCACAGCAGCCATTACTTTAGTCCTGTTTTCACTTGGTCCATCATATACTGCAAAAAAGTCCATGCTTTAATTGCATTCCCTTAAGTGCCTTAAAATGGTATGTGCAAGCTCTGGAGAAAATTCAGTCTTGAATGAAAAAGTGCGTGGCAAACATCAAGAGATGCTCCCATTGTGTTTTTTTTATAATATAAAACTTTTTTTTTTTAAACTTGTGTCAGAGTAGCAGCTGGAACTTGTTTAGTTTTTAGTGTGTATTCTTAAGAGTAGCAGTCTTTATGCAGTCCTGCTGGCTTATTCTCTATTGTTTGTCCTGGTAATTTTTTAATTTGTTGGACCCGTTCAACCAATTTTTAGGAAAACAACAGGACTAGACAGAGGAAAAAAATAGCTTGTAAGTGTCAAGTAGAGTGGAGCATGTAGTGTGCCATATCTCTCCTCCTTCACTCTTCTTTTCCTGGGGGAATTCCCAGAGAATCATGCGGAAGATACTATGGCTGTCCCACTCATTAATAGAAATACAGGTGCAGGTTCCTGCTCCACTTAACTAAGTCGTCATCCAAAATGAAAAGCTGCTCTGAATTAGGGAAAGCAGAAAAAAGACTTCTCATATCCTAGGCCAGTGTACTAACCATGTGCTCGACTGGCAAGTCTTTCCTTTTTAGCTGTAGTTTTGTTTCGCTGTAACAATTGAAAAGTTCTGGTTTCATTCCAGTGCAAAACAAAAACAGTTTACCAACTTTGAAAGCTATCACGAAACAGGATTACTGTCCTGTAAGCCAGCTCTGTTCAAACATTTCACTTAAATGAAACCATCTAACTCCTTGCCTTTTGTCCACAGCGCTCTTACTTCCGAACTCTTCTGATGTACGGGTTCCACTTCCTCGTGTGGTTTCTCTGTGTCAAAGAGATCAGGGACACGCAGTGCGGATTTAAACTTTTAACCAGAGAAGCTGCCTTGCGGACTTTCTCAACGCTTCATATAGAACGCTGGTAAATTCTTTCTTTTTTGTTGGTGTTTTTCCTCATTCAGCATGGTTTTGAAAAAGTAATTTCCATATTGCAGCTACTATGAAGCATGTGATGTCTGTGTATAAATCCTTGCTGGTCAGTTTAACCAACTATAGTGCTGCTTGCATGGCAATTTAGATTTCTTGTTATGCTAAAATATCCTGGTAATTGCTAGGAATTCTGTTTTATTATTAATATATACTTCAGGAAATAGTTGAGTATTTAATTTTATTCTTGTGATGATAGGGAGAAGGGGAACAAATGGACTTAGTGAATTTTGTTTTTAAAATAGCGTCCAACGTAAACTGCAAGAAGGATTTCAAGACTATGTCACTGAGATTTTTGGGTGGCAACAATTGACTCCTTGCAAGTCCATTTTACTTCGGCGTGTGGTATAGAAAGAGTTATGTAATACTAAGCAGGACGTTTTGGTTTTGCCTTGTCAGAGCAATCAGTAACTGATTAGAAGAGAGGAGCAAGTAAAAAAAAAAAATCCGAGTAATCTTCTCTCTTCACTTCTAAAAGAAATTCCAAACAAACGTTTTTTTATTGTATTGTAACTACTCCCTATTTGTGAGAGTCCTATCTCCTATTACAGATATGAGCCATGCAGGCAGAGTAAGAAATAGAGAGAAGCTCTTATTGGGATAAGGAAAGTTAAGTTACTAATCCTATTCAAAACTTTTGTCAGTCAATTTTTGTGCATTACAACCTCACAATTCAGTACTCCTTAACCAAAACATTTTACCTAAAATCCATGTCTGAGATGTTGGTAATTAGTGAAGGCTCAAAGTGAAAGGAAATGCCTACTCTTTGCTCATTTTCTTGCTAGAGTAATTCATGAAAGGACTATTGATAGATCTCATTTAAGACAGTAGAAGATGATACATGATCTTTGAATTACTTTAGAGTTCTCTTTCATTATACATTAGCTAGAACAGTTCCCTTATGAGAGTGATACAGTCATGACTACTGTTACGGGACTGAAACACTGTTTCTGCACAAATACCATAATTTCTGTAAATTTCCTACTCCACAGCTGTTACTAAAAAGGATGACTCAATTAAGTATGATCAAATCTTTTCAAACTATTGTCTTCATCCAAGAAATTCTCTCATGGGCTACTGCTTGCTTACAGGGAGCAGAATTTCTGAATAATGTTTCCATACAAAAATGTGTGTAATCCTACAGTCCTAGTCAGTTCCAATACATCCAGTTTCAGGTTGAGCTTTGGCAATGACAGTTGAGCTATATTGCTTCTCCAGAATGGGGTCTCAAATTTAGTGTTTGGGCACACAAATCTCATGCAGAACGTAGAGCTTCTGATGAATTGAATCTGGAATTGTGAGCAGTCAGTGTTTAGAAAGTCACTTTCCTGGCTGAGTGGTTTGCTTACTACCCTAAAGAAAACTATAGCTGAGCCAGAAGTATGATTTGTGCTGCTATCTCCAAAACCAAACTTGATCTATAAAGTTCTGCTAATTTCATATACAGGAATTTTCTAAATACATGGTTAAACACATCTGTAAGGTCCAGAGTGTACATCTCAAAATTACCCTTTTTAACTTCACTTTAAAAATTAAGTGCTTCAAGAAGAAACACTGAAAGAAATTAATTAGGACAATCAGTTTAATCTGTAAAAATGCTGTCTTCCATCTTACTCTGTTTTAAACTGAAGATTTGTAACATAATTGCACTTATTGGTCAGACCTATTATGCAAAGTGTTGAGTGTGTTATTAAAAAATATTAACAAGGTTTCTTCTGCCACTCAGCTTCTCTAGCAACAAAGGAGCAAAAAAGTAAAAATAATTGTGCTGTACCTCATTATCCAGGAATAGAGGCAAGGAAAAAGGGATGTTGCTAACTTATTTTATAGTAGTTATATTGCTCATGTGGAACACACCAGATCTTCATGTCTTGGTGTATTAATTCATTGTGCTTATATGTGCTGCTATAAGATGAGCCTTCTATTCTTGCTCTTTTATTTACAGTAATCCATAAACTAATCCCCTGAGTGTTTTCTTATTTATCTAAAATGTACTGGTTAGTGATGAAGAATGTTCGTTTTGTTTGTCAAGAAAAGAATAACTCAAATTCTTCCAGTGAACAGCTCTTCAGATATTTCCAGGTTACAAACTTGCCTAAAAGAGCAATAGTTTTTTCTTTTTTTTTTTCATTTGGTTTAATTTTCTGTCAAAACAAGCAATATATTGCCTGTTTTTATCCTTATCTGGCCTTCAGCAGTTTCTGTGCTTCCCTGCCTTCGTTTTCATACTTGCTGGCTGATTTAAACTATATCTGACATAACAGTAGAGATTTCAAGATTGAAAGCTTTGGCAAGTTTTGTGGAAACTGAAACCCCTGTAGAGGAGATAAACTCAGATTGTTGCCAGTGCTGAAGAAAAAAACTACAATAAGGACTCAAAAGTTACTTGTCAGCTTCTCAGCTAGCCATTTAGCATGTGTAACTGGAAGATAACATGTCAGTGCACAAAACAGAGTACTGTCCCTTTCCCAGTTAATATTTATAAGATCTGGAAGTAAACTGGGAGATGTGGAGATATAAGTATGCGGGGAAAATGGGTATATTAAAGGAAACGGTAGTCATAAGTGAAATGTCTGTGTTGTACAGATAGTTGGGATAATAGCAGTTGGAAGTTGTATAGGGACATCAAACATTTATCCCATAGAACCATACATTGGATTCCTTTTTATGCAATAATGTAAGAAACTGAAATAGCCCAATGATGGAAATTTCTTATTTTAAGCAAAACTGGCTCCAAATATCTTTCCATTACATAGCATATATGTAAAAAGGAAAAGAAAAACTGCTTAGATATTATGCCATGGAGTTTCTGTATGTATCATGAGTATGAAGATGTAAGAAGAAGAAATAGTAGTCAGTGTTAAATTTCTGCTGACCTGAAACAATGGGGAGTCCCTGACTGGGTCACAGAATAGCTCATTCATACTGAGACCATCAGCAAGGGGTTGCAGAGAAACCACTATCTTGATACTGGACAAGAGTCTCTGAAATCTGGGTTTATTACCCCCTCTGCATCACTGCACTGGGACTATTTGACATCTGAAGAAATTTTTATTCTTTTTGAATCTTAAAATCCCATTAGTGATGTGCAGCTCTGTTATATATTGAAAGAAGTGTTCAGTTCATTTCAGTATGGTCAGTGCTCAGATATTAGAATCATAGAATCACAGAATGGTTTGGGTTGGAAGGGACCTCAAAGATCATCGAGTTCCAACTCCCTGCCATGGGCAGGGACATCTTCCACTAGATCAGGTTGCTCAAAGCCTCATCCAACCTGGCCTTGAACACTTCCAGGGATGGGGCAGCCACAACTTCTCTGGGCAACCTGTTCCAGTGCCTCACCACCCTCAGTGTAAAAAATTTCTTCCTTATATCTAATCAAAATCTCCCCTCTTTCAGTTCTGATTCTTTCAGTATCCTCTTTCTATTCTGGTAATAACAGAGGAGAGCGCTAGAAAATATTCAACAAACAAGCAGAATTTAATAGGATAAAAGCCATCTGAGAGCCAGCACGCTAGTCATTGGGTCTGTCAAGGCCTCCCCTGCTGCTGAACTGGGGCGTGTGGTGAGCTGTTGAAGAGAATGAACACGATTTGTTTTTGCAGAAGCCTCTTCTGTCTTGTCTGCTCAATTTTTGTCAGGCTCAAATTTTTTGAGGTACTGCGGTGTTAAGTGAATTCTTATGTGAGGACATAATAAATATTTAGACTAACCATTAATATATAACACATTTACTCATGATGTTAGTACGAAACAGCTATAAATTTAACTATCTGATAACTCCTGCCCTGAACTGTTAAGCTTACTGCTCAGTTAGAACATAAACACGCACACACAATGGACAGGATTTGCTTCATCGCATCTAGAATGCATCTACTTGTCATCTAGCCTTGGTTCTTGGACAATAGAAGCAGGGGCAATTTTAGGGTATAATTAATTTCATCCTAGTATAGGCCTCTACAGTATGCAGCTGACAAATGCCTGTTTCCTGCGCTCGACTATAAAGGAACTCTAGACCATTTGTACAGAAGGAGCTCTCTGCTGTCGATGGGTAAATTCGACTCAGCATAGTAGTATGTAGGAAAAAACACGTATCATGTTGCTGGTGCCTCAACTGCATCAAAAGGATAAACTATTCAGTAAATCCTGAAAGTAATGGGTTAGAAGAAAAACATGAAGCAGTTTTTTATCAAAGGCAGCTCAGTTTCTGGGCTGTATAGGCAGTGCTTATTGTTTCTGTAGACAAAAAGCCCAGAGAATTCTTCCCTTCAGATAAAGGAATCCAATAGTGTCTTTGCATATAAGAGACCACCAGTGCTGAATTAGCACTGGGCAGTAGGAGACTCCTCTGAAGTGCTGGATATTGTCAATGCCGCCCCAAAAGGCAGAGCAGTACGTATTCAAGAAATAATACAAGTTTTATTTCTGTGTCTCAGCAGACTGATAACATACCTCATTCAAAAAGCAAGTGTTGGGAGCATGGTCTCTTTGTTAGAAGCTGAGCATCTTGCACTCTGGTAATAGATATGTCAATGTAAACAGCATAACTGTCCTGCTGCGAGGCTGGGCAGACTGAAAGATTTCTGTGTTTCTTTACTTAAGTAGTTATTGGAGACACCAAAAATAAATGCATATGGTGTTTTCAGTGTTTCACCAGCACCACCAATAAAATGGAGTCTTATATTTCCCTATTCACCTTTCATATGAAAACGAAGGGGAGAACATCAAGATCTTCCTTTATATGATCTTATGTTCATCTTTGATAGTTTCAATATTGGTTTAATGGTGAGGAAATAACCCAGTATCAGCTGCATTAAGAATGAAAAACTGATTGCTTAGACCTTCACTTTTTTCTGCTTTCTTCATGCTCTTTCTATTCCAGTTGACATTGAACTGAGTATCACCTTTTAAATGTTAAAAATACTAGAAAACTGA